TTTATAATCACATTAATTAAAGTTCTTCTTCTTTTCTTCTTTTTAACATTTTGTTTATAATAGTTATAACCCATTAATGCTTAAACAAGTTAAGTTTCTAAATACAATGAATACTATTCAAACTGCTCTTATTTTCTTACCTTCCCATTATTATTTGGAATGATTTTAAGCTTAATTTTTTATAGAATTGTTAAAAAAAACATTTGAAAAGGCAAAGACAAATTTTAAATCTCGAGCCCTTTATCATTTGGATTGCAACTGAAAAAATAAATACTTACAATTATCTGAAGAAATTTTATAAATTAGAAATCTCATATTAATAACCTTTAGATATTAAAGCATAATAAACTTCCTTTTTATAATGATATATTAACACAAACAGTTTGTTAATATCAATAAATTATGTATTAAAATATTTATCTTATTAATACATCAATTTCCTTTATAGTTATTGGACTATCATTAGTTTCTTTAAATTTATATTTTTTGTTTAAGAATTCTAAATTTATTGTCATTAATTCTTCTAAGATATAGAAAATACCTTCATAAATAATTTTATGAACCTTATGCTTTCCATCTTAATCTTATGGATTTAATGGATTATAAACTAATAAAAATAAGAAGTTTGTAGCTATACCTTGATTAAATTTGGAATTGATATATATAAGTATTTTACTTACATTTTTTTTTGCAAACTAATGATATTAGTTTATTCTCATTTCTGTAATTAGAAGTAAAACCTATTATATAGTTGACTAATATAAATCAGTTGTGTTGATTTTAAAGTTGATATTCAGCTTCAATATATAAAATCCTACCATTGATTAACACCATTTAATAAAGTATTCTTAGTTTATTAAGACACTAATAATTCTTATTGGACATTAAAAAATCTTTTGAATATCCATAATTTATTTGATAATTAATTCTATACTTGTAATTGATGAAATTAAAAGCTGGAATTTATTTTTGAAATGTTTTAAGTTATTGCTGCTTTTTCTAAGATTTCAGATGGGCTTGTATCCAAATAAGTTTGGATTTTGATACTTAATTTTGAAAATGTGTTGTTCAAAACTTTAATTTTCATTGAAATTTAGTTTGATATTTCTCTTCTTACTTATGTTTTACAAATACAACAATCTTTATAATAATTTTTTTATCATATTTAAGATTAAAATCAAAAGGGAGGAATCTAAATAATAACTGATTTAAAAGTGTGGTTTATACTAATAATCATTTAATAATCATTTGCTGCTGATATTGTATTCAAGATTAAAAGTATCTACATAAAATGTTAAATAAGATGCATCAATCTAAATTAATTATGGTATTAATATATTAAAATAATAATTTTTTACTTCAATGATTTTGATAACCTATTTACTAGTTGATAATTAAAAAGCCATCAATAAAGAAATAACAATTTAGTATGAAAATAATTCAATAGTCTTTGATTTAAAGAATGCTAAAGGTTAACTATTTTTCTGTAGATAATATGTCGATATTATTCACTCTATAGATAGTAATGAAGTTAATAGATATATACGTTTGGTTAGACAGAATAATCAATAAAAGAAAAAAAAGATGATTAGAACTCTTAGAGATTTCTGTTATAATGAGAACAGGAGCTTTTTTATAAAAATGAAATATAAAATAAATTTTTTTTTGATCATTATTCTAGGGAATTTGTTTGTAATATTTGTAGAATTTGAGACATTTGATTAAAATTGATTCTTTCTTAATGATTTTGTTATTAATACTGAATATGCATATGATATTAATCATGCCAATGGGACAGAATTATTTTCTACTTTATATTGTTCAACTTATTTAATGTAATTAACATAGTGTCTAAGCTTATTCAAGACTGGGAGTGTTTCAGCTGAGATGACATATTTACTTGCATAGATAATTCAATAGAATCCAAACTATCCAATCCATGTTATTCTAATTCTGAATCTAAATTTAAGGCTGACAGATAATAATAATAATATATTACTTTATTTGTTGTTCTATAATAATTTTTGACTAAAGTTAAGACATATCCTTCAATATCTTATGATTTCTTCAATTATAGATAATTCTTTGTAATTAATTATCCATCCTTATAGACTTAGATTGGTTTAGTTTATTATTATTTGCCTTAAGTTGTTGCTGGAGTCTTATCAGCAGCAAAATAAAAGATAGGTCTCATTTACAATAATCTTAATCCTCTAAACATATTACTTTATTTAAATAATATATTTGAAATAAAATATATTTATTTTGCACTTCTCTTAAATATTCAAGATCCTCTTTTGCATTTTTATCTTTTCATTAATGGTCATAAATTTCTCATTCTTGGCATATCAACATCACTTATATATCTAGTTCGTCTTTTTCTTTTTAAATTTGCTTTAGAACAATTTCGATTAAGATGTCTAGATCCAGGAGATTTAAATTTAAGTCTTCTAGCTCTTCTAGGTCCAACTATTTTAACTCTTTTTAATATTAATAATCCTTTATGCTTTCCAATCTTATATTATCTATTTTAACTTCTAATTCTTTTCTTCCAACTTGAAGATGAACATTTAGTTTTTGATCTATCTTATCCAATTATTCGAGTTTATTGAAATAATTTAGTCAATCCAAAATATTAAATAGGTTTCTAATAAAATTGGATTGGTCTACTAATAGGAATTATTTGAACAATATTTTTAATTGTCTAAGTAGCTAATTTTAACATAAATTCTTAATTATATCACAATCAAGATGTAATTTTATATTTCATTGTTAAAGTTCCTTTCTAATTTGACATCATTTAAGATGTTCCTAATTTTGGTACACTTTAAGTGGTAGATAATTTCTAAACTTTCTATGCTGATTTTATTGATCTTGCAATTGATGATGCTGTAATAGGTCTTGAATTTTTAAATTATTATTCTTTTTTTGCTTCTACAATTTATTTTCTTTAATCCTCTAATTATTATTCTTAATCTTAATATGTAGCTATTGCTCCCAATTAACCTTTTTCTCTCATTGCTTAAAATCTTTCTATCTTTAATTTTTATAGATCTCTTCTTAATATTTAATTCTAATTATCCATTATTGTAATAATCTTTCTATTTTAAATCTATTCATCTTTAAGAATCTCTACATTTTCTGTTAATTATTAAATCTTTTATTATAATTCTTCATTACTAGAATTAGCTGCTACTATTATTTATATTTATTTTTCAAACTTTTCTCTTATACACATCTCTTTCCATAAATAAAATGTTCTTAATTTCTTTAATGATTAAAATAATGAATTAATTTATTCACTATCTTCTTTAAATTTATCATATACTCCTACTCTCTAATATTCAACATCTAAATCTATATTCAATTTATTAACCTAACCAAATAAAGCTTCAGATGCTTTATCTCTCACTCTCTTCAATCCATCTGTCTTATATTCCTATATAAATTTGTCATTTCCATTGAAATACCTCTCTTATAATCTTAAAATCGATTTTACATCTATTATATAAATACATCTTAAGTACGAATTTATTCACTAAATTCCTCCTTAATCTTATCTCTCAATTTCTACTTCTCTATATCAAAACTCTTCATTAACTATTCTATTTATTACTTTAATGCATCATTTTCAAATATTATATCATTTGTTCTTTATGCAACTAAACTCTCAACTATATGATTAATATTAGATTCATATAAATTTATCTTATTCATTGCAAATCGTAATTCTATTGATTTCTAATTATACATTCTTTATAATGATTCATTTTTTATTACAATCTAATTTGGATAATTTTATTTATTAAAATCTAACATTCTTTTATTGAAATCATTTAAATGCTTATCTAAATCACTATCTGCTATCTCATGTGCAAATCCCTTATTTAATGTCATTATTTTTAATGAATCTCTTTCTAAATTACTATAAAATACATTCAATTACTTTGTTACTTAATATGGTTAATCCATCTTATTTAATTAAATATTCAATTATTAATAATATTATTTACCCTCTTCTTAAAATATTGCTTAACATTCTATCATCATTGATATCAATTAAAATACTTGATTCTCAAAACTTTCCAATCTTAATCTTGGTAATATTGAAAATTTCTCTTATGATGTTTCATAATTCATTCTTGTTGTCTTAGATCCTTTTTTAAGTTCATTAAATTATTTATTTACAGCTGGAAGTGCACTTAATAATAATCCAGCTTTCAATTATTATTTATGCATATTTTTATCACATAATTCTACAATTTTCTAACCATTATGTACAAGGATCATGTGTATCTGATGAAAATGGAAGAATTTCTCTCTTCTAAACTGTAAAAAACTCTGACAATATTAAAGAACGAAATTGTAATACTAATAATTTTCTATATGCTCTCTCATATTTAAAAAAATCATCAACTTCAAAAATACATTTATCTCTTACAATTGATTCAGATTCTGATATAACTAAATCCTATATTGTTGAATAATAAATCAATTTTGATTAAGGAAATAAAGTAAATAAATTTGCCATTGATTGCTTAAGGAAAGAGATCTATTACATTTGATAAAAAAGATTCAATATTATAATTAATTTTTTATGTTCTAAATGATATTTGCTAAGATGGAATCATATTAGGTGATAATTATGTATAATAATCTTCAAATTAATATTGCTAAAGTGGCATATGAACATTATTAGGATTTGTTTAATGAACTTACACAAATTAAGAACCAAATCCATATTTTAATAACATCATTTTATCACTAATAATTCTTTTTGTTTAAATTGAATGATATACTCTTGGTGCTTAATCCATTAATCTTTCAACATGACACATATTTCTAAAACATCCAGTTATTAAAGCATTTCTTAATGTAGAAATTATTTAAGGATATATTTCACTATTATCTTAAACTTATTTTCTAAATTAATGACCAGATGAAATCATTGTAATGATAATTAATAAATGAAATCGTTTTATTAATTTTTCCAAATATGTCATTATAGTAAGATTCATATTCTAAATATTTCCATTTGATAATATTTTCGTAATATTATCCTTATACTTTTAAACAGATTAATACACATTCTCTAAATCTCTTCTTAATCTCAATTAATTTTGTTTCAATTCCTCCATACCAAGCATTCCTTGATTCAAATAAATAAGATCTTGAACATTGCAATTACATGATTGAACCCTTATTAAAAGTTAAACCAATTATAAGGCTAATTATTATGAACCAGATATAGGTTCCTAAAATTTATTATTATTTGAAAAAGGATTACCAGAACTCTTAAATTTTGGTTGTTTTCTATTAGCAGACAAAGGTGTAACATTTTTCTCTAATTTTAATATAGTTGTTGTAATCCAATCTTCATCTCCCAAATTGTCAACATCAGAATTTGAAGTCTTATTATCAAAATCTTTAAAATTAATAATGTTCATCATTGATTGTATACTATGAATAATAAAAGGGTTCTAAATTTATTACATCTCATTTAAGAATGGTTCCTCAGTAAATAAAGGTTTTACAAAGGGTAACTTTTAATTTAATTGAATCATCTATTCTCTTTAAATGAGTGCATGCAATGTGAAAATTAATGATTGACATTGTTATGTTAATAATTTATTAAATTCTTATAATTTTATTACATTTTATTTACAAAATTTTTAACCAATAATGAACCTCTAAATTGACTAGAAATCATACTAATTGCTGTCTATTTAATTTTATCTTAACTATTTTAATCATTTGCATTTGTACTACTTTACATAATATTAGCTTTCCTCTAAGTTGTTTAAGCCTACAATGCTAATCTTTCTTTTAATCCTATAATATCAACAAAGTGATGATTCTATTTCTTATTTATTTTTATAGCATTAAACAAATAAAAATCTAATAACAATAAAGATTTTAATGGCATTAACATATCAATCATTTTATAGTTATCTGCTGCAAAACTTCTCCATAATTCAATTTGTTAACATTCCTTACCAATTTTCAAATATTCATCCATTACTATTGAGAATACATCAAAATTTTTATCATCAATAACTCTATTTGGAATTAATTCTAATTTTTATATCATCTTATTTGTTAATCCCCTATCTTTGATCTACTAACCATAAATATTACTCAAATAATAAATTCTCAAAGATAATTTATAAAATTTTCTTCTCAATACTAAAAATTCTAAAAGAGAGAAAATATTAAAATTTCCATCTTCTGGTAATTATTTTAAGATCTGTAATAAATTATTTTTAGAATCTAAATATAAAATGATTTATAAGGAAACTCTTTATCAATCAATCTATCTGTTCTAATATATTTTAGAGTTTATTCTAATATGTTTAGATCTTTAATAGAAAATAATTTTAAAATTAATTTAAGTGATTTAGTATTAGTAAAAATTTTACATAAAAGATTTAATCTCTTTGTAGCTTCTGAATAATAAATAAGCACATTTTAATCATACTTAAATTTTGGTTATTAATGAACCAACCTTGCCAATATACTAACAGCATTATTCAATTCTGAAACTCTTGTTTTTTATAACATAGGATAAACAATTTACAATATTTTACATTTAGCATTATTGTAATCAAGTTCAGCTTATAATAAATCTTTAACTGCTAAAAATCTATTTAATTATTAAGAATCAGAATGACTATTTTTTTCTCCAATTTTATTAGTGAATTATAAGGTAAATGCACTAATATGACTTACTTTATCTAATAATTAAGCTACATCCTTAAAAACTATTTCATAAATAATTTTATGACCATTTCCATCTACAACTTCAAAAAGATTATGATTTCTTTATATTTTCTCATCACAAAAATAAGCAGAAGTATCTTCTTATGGAATAGTATCTTTAGAATCTAAACTAGTTATAAAAGTATTCAAAGTATTGTATTATTTTTTTTGTATTCTCTCCTTTGTTAATTAACTTGAAAGTTGATGTAAATCCATGAAATAAATATTCAAATTTTTCTACATAGTTCTCATTACATTGTAGCAATGCATAATTTAAATTAAAGATTCTCTTGATTCGAAATAGACCAATTTTTAATATCTTAAGAAGAATTAGAAGTATATTTCTGGAAAATGAGTTGATTACACCTTTTCTTAAACTAATGAGACATCCTTATTTATTTTATCTAAAATTTTATCAGATTCATGATATAGTAAGAATTTCATCCATGAATTGATTGAGCTATCTTCATATTAATTAAATATTAAACTCATTTCTGTATCCTCCTTATCTTAAATAATTTAAATATTATCTAACCAATTAGCACTACTTCTAATTCTATATTAATTTTTTCTTATCTTATCTTCTTTTAATTCATTTAATATATTCATAGTTTATTATTAAAAACTCTTAGTCTTCTATTCAGACTAATCTAAATTATAAGGAAGAAATAGAAGGTATTTATTGCTTTATTCTTAGATCTAAGTGTTTATCAATAGCAAATAGAAATAATGCTCCATTATCAACTGTAATATCTTAATCTACACCTTGATCCATTGCTAATTATTATAATTCTGATTATAATTATGGCATAGTTTATAAATGGCATACTTTAATATATTTTATTGTTCATTCTCTAAAAGATTAGATCATCATCAGTTGATATTTAAATGTATGTCTTAATCAAATCTTGAAGGATCAAATATTCTCTCATTTGATAATTTCTCACTTATCTTTGCATATTCTATCAATTTTTCATCTATTATTTTTATTTCTTCATCAACTAAAGTTTTATTCTCATCTGGATGTATTCTCTCTACATTTACTGTTGAATACATTTCTATAGGAATAACATCTTATTTCACCTTAACTAATGGATCATAAAATAAAACATCCTCTGTAGGATTATGTAGTAAAGATATTCTTTATCTTATTAAATATTTTCTTCTAATCCACAGATTAGCTTATAAATTTTCATAAAATTAAAGTAATGCCTCTCTGTAATCCTCTGTTGTTATATTAAGGCGTGCTTTCTTTTATAAGAAGGTATCAAAGTTAAATTAATGAATAGGATTAGGTTTAACACGATAACCATATTCATATAATATTTTAGAGATTTCTATTTCTACTTTAGTGATGTATTGATTCCATTATGTATTATCAATCTTAAATTTTCCCAACTACTTCGATGAGTATTAACATGTTTGATTAATTAATCTGAGTTCATTTGTTTGTTAGGTAATAGGAAACTGTTATATAGTTTGAATAGCTTAATTTATAAATGGTAAACTCATAAATTATATTATTAATTTATATCCTCTATAACCTTTCCTATTCCAAACTTGAAATTGTTAAAAACAAGACTAATTTAATATAATCAATAGGACAATTACCAAAAGAGGAATGAATAAGAAAATATTAAAAATAAAGAAAGATAATTTAAAGTAATTTGAAAATTATATTCAAAAGAATTTAAGAATATCATTAATAAGGGGAGATGAAGTTAATGGAATAAAAAAATTATTTCATTGAAAATGATTTTTTGGTAGTAAATATTCATACATAATTATATTTGTAAAAAAACAAAATAAATTATGATGAATCTTTATTATAAATTATTTATATATAAAATTTATTAAGAGCTTGATTAGATGTTAAGAGATTGGAAAGAACATAAAATAAGATAATTAATAAGTAGGAAGAGTGTAAGAAATAATAAGGAGTGTAGGAATAAAATAATAAAGAAGATAATTATATATATATATATTTTCAAATATATTTATATATAGATATATAATTTATTGATAAAATAAAGGAGGGTCATTAAAATCTTGAGGTATTTAAACCATTTTTTTGAATGAAGAATATTAACATATAATATAAATTACATTTTTTTTGATGTCTGAGCCCAAAAAGAAGTTAAGGATTGGCAATCTTGCTTACAAAGTATGATGTAAATTTAAAATTGTATAGGTTCAAAAGGATGATTTAGACGAGCTGTTCAAACAGTAGGGATAAATCACAGAGATTAAAGTATTAGATAAGGGTCCTCATGTATACGCATTTGTTGAATTTGAAAAGGTAGAAAAAGTAATTGAGGCTTTTAATAGGTAAAGGAGTGAAAAATATCTATATATTAGTTTACAAGGTCGTGAGTTGAAAGGGTAAGCTATGAAGATTGAATATGCAAGTGGAAGGAAGAGGTAATAGTTAATTTAATTAGTAATTAGGAGTACAAATGATCGTGATAAAGACAGAGGTAGAGGAGGCAATGATAAGTACAGAAAGAGAGATGGCAGCTATAAGAGACGTTCCCGAAGTAGAAGCAATGACAGACATAAAAAGAAATCTAAAAGTTTAACTAACTCACTTACTTTACTTCCAATTAGGCAATAAAAGACACTCATCCAGCTCTGAGTCTTCCAGTAGAAACAAATAGTATAACAACAAAAAATAGCCCGAGCGTTCCCCCCCCTTCGGATGATCTTTCATTGAGTATCATTAATAAAAGAAAAAATATTTTAAATACATTGAATTATTATTATAATATTAACAACAACAACAACAAAAATCTTCCCTTAATTAATTAATCATTTCTTTTTTATCAATGTAGTAATTATTGTAGCAATCAATCCTAATAATAATAATATAAATGCAATATCTAAAACAAATTTATTTGGTCTTCTATAAACTTAAGTTAATCTTTTCAATGCTTAATTAGCATTATTTAAATTTTTATTTGTTTTATCAGCCTCTTTAATTAATATATTTATTTATTCTCCTGTTTAATCAATTTTCTATATAAAATAATAATATAAATTAAATACTTAACCCATTTATTAAACTTTATAATGCATTTAATCTAATCCTCCTATTATCTCATCTAATTACTTATCCATTTATTCATCATTCAAATTCCATCTTTACATAGCCTCCTATTCTTCTAAACTTAAATTCTCTTAATATTCCAAATCATTCTTTTTATTATTATTACCACCATCAAAAACTTAATTCTTTAATTCATTTAATGTTACTCCTTTAAACTCCTATTCATCTACTACAAATTCTTTCATTTTTGTTCCCTTCAATCCAATCTTTAACATTTTAAATGTAGTCACTCTTAACTCTAAATCTTATTAATTGTATTTCTATTTTTCTATTTCATTAATACTTTAGGCTTTTTTAACTATCGTAAAAGAGTTTTCTCCAATGATTTGTATTACTATTCACATTTTTATATTGATTCTCTTATTTCTACACCTAAACGAATTGCCTCCTCATCATTTCCATACTTTTAGTTTCGTTTATCTCTATTTTTCTATTTTGCAGAAATCATTTCAATTTCCTCTCTTAAATCTTCAATCATTTAATCAAATTCTTTTTAAGGATTCTTAACATTTTTCTTTCTCTCATTCCCTCCCAATTATTCATCCATTCTATACAATCTTTCATGCAAAACTACTATTCTTTAAGATCTCATTAAATTATTATTTATTAATCATTAAATTATTTACATATTTCAAATAACTTTCAATATTTTCCATTATATTCACATATTGATAATATTTTATTCGAAAATTATTATATATTTACATTTTAATTACAATTAAACCTTAACATTTTGATCATATATATATTAAAATTAACCCATCATCATTAATTAATTTGGTTAGTTTCTCTATACATATTAGTAGTATTTACTTAAATATTATATTACTATTATTTCTATTCATAATTCAATATAGTTTTTAATTTTATCAAAAATCAAATAAAAATGTTTCATTAAGAATACTCTTTCTTTCATTTTTAAGTTTTTATTTTAAAATTAGTAATTTATTGAACATATTTTCAATGATTTTCAATTAATGAATTATGAATCTTTTATACTTTTGATTTCTCAGATATAAATAAATCAAAATATAAAAGAAATTTAAAAGTATAAATGTAATTAAATATTTAAATAATTTAATTAAATATCTACAATGAGTTTGAGTTGGTTAGTGTCTCCTTAATTACATAAAACTACTAATGGATATTTTATAAATCATGATAACATCATGCTTGGTAATTAAAATCACAATATTTTAATCATCTGGACCATATGATAAGAGAAGACTTATATTTTATTATATTGCAAGCTAGACACCTGAAAAGATTACAAAAGAAGATCACTCAAAATATATTAAAGAGAAATTTATAGATGTAGATGTTAGACCTGGAATATTTTCTTTTGGTGGAATTTTCTTATCATTATCAACAATGAGGGAATAATAATTAATTACTTCAAGAATCACCAGTCGACCAATCTTTAATGGATTATTGATTTTGGGAGTTGGTAATTTGAAATAATTGAATACTTTTAGGTTTGGTTTCAGCAGCATTTTCATACAATCTATCATAGATTTTATTTGAACCACTTTTTGTCCAAAGAAACTAAGTGATATCTGATTTATCTGAGAAATATAATTTTTCAGTTTTTGATTTTGCTTTAGCAAAGAAAGAAGCTAGATTGAAACAATTAAGAGCAGAGTTAACAAGTGACAGGAGTAATGCAGCACATTTTTGAAATAAACATTACAACAACAATAAAAATATATTAATATTATTATAATTATGAAAAATAATCCCAAGATCTCTATTTAAAATAACATTATTCATTTATATTAATACAATTTTTACAAGAAATAAATAAAAAGAGAAAAATCTAATAATAAGATGATTGAAATAAGCATAACTACTATGTTCTTTTATTTTAGTCTTAGAAATCTTATTTGTTTATGTAAAAAGTTAAATTATAGATTGAAATGTATAAATAAAAATGATGTAAGAATGAAGAAGGTTATAAAATTATTTGATACTTAAATATGAAATCATTTAATTAAGAAATAAATTTAGGAAGATAATGTTATAAAAATTGCTTTATTACATCATTTATGCTATCTTTTAAAGAAGACTTTTCATAATATGAAATTATTGTAAATAATAATTTGTTATATTATCATGATTATATAATTGAATAGAATCTTCTTATTATCTAATCATTTTCTAATAGCTTTATAATATGCCTTAAATTCATTAGTCAATTAATTATGATAGATTAGATTTATCAATTTATGATAAATTAAGTTTATTTGGAATCATTTAATTTCTTATATTTTTATAATATTTGGAGTATATTGATGTGTTTTAAGAAATAAACAAAAATTAATAAATATACTTTAATGAGTTGTAATATAGTGAAATGAGGTATTAATAAATATTAATTAATATTATTAATATATATATTTACATATGTTGGTTCGAAAGAGAAAGTATTTTGAAGATGAGCCGATTGAAGTATATTTATAAGTTATTGAATTAGACAAGAAATCCAACATTTGCTTTAAGAAGGCGAATTACATAGGATAGAAATTTAGAAACATTATATCAAGCACATAAAAGACTGACTTTGTATATGATTATATTTAATTTATTTAGATAAAATTTGGCTATTGTTTAAGAGAAATACCCTTAGATTCAATAATCAGACATTTTAAGATTATTAGAAGATTTTGACAACAATGTTGAAATGGTATCTGAGATTTTGTGTTAAAAAGCAGTCATCCCCCAAAAATTCGAGATTGGAAATGCAGATGTATGATTTAAACATCTATATTAGTTTGATAATTATAAAAAGGCATTAAAAGAAGAATTACTCAAAAGACTTTAACAATCATAAAACATTCAATCAGCCTAATAAGTCATTTAATTATGTTTTGATGCTTTTGAGTAAAAGTTAGGAGAAAAATATTAATCGAATGTAACTTATTAATTAAGAATATAGACTTAGAAATTAGAAGATGAAAACAAATTATTGAAATAAGCATTCTTAAAATAACATAGGAGACTTGAAAAAATAAGGGTAGAAGCAGAAAATAAAGAAAAATAAAATTAAAATTTAATTAAATAACTCACTGAAGAAAATAAACAATAATAATTAATTAATAATAACCTCACAATATTATTAATCTAAGTCTAATAAAATAACTCTGTTTCAATTATTAATAATATTAACAATGATATATATTGAACATTATTGCTAATAATTTTTTTTTAATCACATTCTTATTTAATAATATATAATTTAATTCATATATTAATAATGATAATTTTTTGAGAATTAAAGTGTATGGATACAAATTCAAATAATTTTTGAGTAATATTCTAATTGATTGTCTCAACAATATTAATCAGTTTTTAGCATGAATCTAGAAAAAAAAAAAATCATACACTTGAAGCTAACGAGATCTATTTAATAAAAATGTAATTTATTTGCAAAAAATTGAATTGAAAAATATTTAATTCCAAAAAAAAGTTAATGTATAGAATTGAAAAAAAATAAACAGAAAAGTAGAATTCTTTATAGTTTATAAAAATTATAATAATAATTAGTTCTTAAAGAATAATCTCAAGTTTAATAGGCTTATTTAAATCTTGTAATTTTATTTCAACAATCAACAAATTTTTATTAGAAATCTTCAAATTTATAATCATAAGAAATAAATAGTAAAAGTAATTTTATTTAACAAACAAAAATTAAAATGGAAGATAAACTACTATTAGACATACTAAAAAAGACTTGTTATTATGTAAGAGATATATATTTAAGACTTAGAAGTAGACAAAATTGATTTTAAAGTTAATTTGGATAAGTTGATGAAATTTGGTGAAAGTTTTGTGACACCATTTTTTTGTAATCGACAACCTATATAATAGGAGAAGCAACTTAATGAATTTTATGAAGTTATTTATAAAGAAAAAAAATTGATTTGAGTTAATAATTTATTAATAATATTTTCTCTATTTATAAGAAAAGAAATAATTTTTATTAGATAATTTATTAAATAAATTATTTAATGAATAGCATTCTAATGTCTAGTAATGGAACTACTTACACTATAAAAGCTTAATTAGGAAGTGGTTCATTTGGGACTGTATATCAAGTCTTAGATTTGAGAACAAACAAATATTATTCTTGCAAAATAGTATTAATTTTAGTTAATGAATAGATTTCAAAAGGATTGTTATAGAAATATAATGCGGAATCAATGATTAGACAAGAGATTAAAATGTAATCAACATTAAATCATAAAAACATACTAAAAGTCTATCATTCTTTTGAAGACAATCAAAATATTTATATAATTTCTGAATATTGTTCCCGTGGTTCGTTATAATTTCCAAAGACCCCTTATAAAGATAAAGATGTCTTTAATGTATGTATATCCTTGTTAGGTGTTCTAGATTGTTTACATTAGAATAAAATAATTCATCGAGATTTGAAGTAATATAATATTTAATCTTTTAAAAATAGTTAGAAAATGTTTTTCTTCATGAGGATGGAACTTATAAATTAGGGAATTTTGGTTGGGCCACTTATATCGATAAAGTAGAGCCCATTCTTTGTGGAACTACTGAATATATGCCACCAGAGGTTGTTTTAAAATAATAACATGATTACAAAGTAGATTGTTATTCACTTGGAGCATTAATTTATGTATTACTTTGTATAAGTCTAGAATTATAAATATTATTTCTTTTTTTTTTAAATCAATTTATAAATTATATTTATGAATTATAAAAAGAAATTGATTAAAAAATAATACAAGATAAATAAAAATCTATTAAATTTAAAAATAAAATAATTTATTAACTGTATTAATACTAGATTTTACTTCATACTCATTTTCCATTTCAAGGTAATTCTTAACCTGAATTGATTGGAAAAATAGTGAATTAAGAAATCGTTGTTAATAGAAGTGTTGATGAAGATTTATTAATTTTAATTTAAGCATTATTAACTAAAGATCCAAATGAAAGGCCGACAGTATAATAATTGTATTTAAGTAAATGGATAAAAAAATAAATGAAGTTAAATAATATTTTCAATAAATATGAAAATGAATAGCTAAAAAATAAGTTTAGATAAAAAAATATCACAATAAAGACTTTAGAATTGAAGTAATATTTTAAGTTATAATATTAAAGTGGATCAATAAAATCTAGTCTATCAGATAGTCAAAAAAGTTCATTAACTCAAAGTTCAAGTACCCAAATAAGTTCATCAAATAATCCTTGTTCACCTCTTGTTAATAAATGCAATATTGATTAGATTTTTAACTTCAAAGATTCTGATACTAAAATGCTTATAATATTAGAATTATTAATGTATTAATATAATTTATATATAAGAGTTCTAAATTTATAAAATAATACTTGTTGTTTGTTTCATCTAAGTTTATTTCTTAATATAAATTGAAAATGCTATTATTAGATTATTAGATTAATTTTTAATAAACTTCTTGTCTTTGTTTGATTAGAATCATTATTATGTTATTATTTATAATAATAATGACGGAACAATATATTATGGATTCAGAAATTATTGAGGATGAAGTTGATCGCCCAGTATCAGTCTACAATTTAAATGTTTGTTTAAAAGAGACATTGATTTTAGACTATAAGATTGTTAACTAAATGAGCCTGATATTTAAGATTTAGAGTAGAAATGAATAAACTAGTTTATAATTCTTGTGGTTTTAAAAAAGGATTGGTAAAACAAAAGAAATACCCAAATAAGAATTAAAGATAGATTTAATGGAGAATCGAACTAAGAATGAATAGCTATCATTTAAAAAGCCGATATAACCTATCTAATAATTATCAATAATTTCTAATGGAGATTAATCATCATTATTTACAAGAAAGGAAACAGTTCCTAAAATTAATTTTGTAGGAGAAATGAAAGAAAGTATAAACTAAAATACAACAGTTGACTTAAGAAAAAATCAAAAACTACATACCCATATATTACTAAATTAAAAGATGGTTTATCTCACCCAAAAATCTATATTTTATTCATCTTCTAAAGCTTTCTGAAGTACTTTAAGTAATAGCATAATATTATTAAGATCTTCTTCACTTAATTACACTTTAAATTGATAATTAGAAAGTTCATCATAAACCTTATGTAGAAAATCATTTTTTGTTTATTCATAATTATAAAATCTCCTTTTTTTTGTTAAATTTTTCTGTTAATTTTTAATGTCTTATTTAGACTCTAAATTTTTCTCTTTTCAAAATTAATAAATCATTTGATCTGCCTTAATTCATTTTAAATGTTAATTAAATAATTTTATTAATAATCAACATATATTAGAATTGTATGTGAACCCATCTTACTAGTTGGTCTGGGACTAATTGTTGATAAAATAATTGTCATTTTTTTTTGATTAGGATTATTTCTAAGAACTTTAACTTTTTTTGAATGATTAATTTGATCTGTTGTTAGGGCTAAATTATTACTATTTGATATTAATTTTTCAAATAATAAATTATTTCTACTTTTTAACTATAAAATAAATATACTTAATCGTATTAGTTTAAGATGATCTTCTTGTTGAAAATGGTTTAGATTAAATTAAACTTTCTTTTTCATCCATCAATTATTTAATTGTTTCTTTTGTTTTAATATCGATCTCTCTAATTAATTGGTCTTCATCTTATGTTTTATGATTACTATTCATTTCTTTACTAAATTCTTTATTTGTAATTACAGATTTTTCCTATGCTTTAACAGTTGTTTTTGTTTCTCTATGTGTATTATGAACTTTTTAAAAAATATTAGGTGCAGATGAAAAATTAACTTTTCTCTAATTATTATACTATTCTAAGCATTAAGTTTGTTCAGTTTTAGCTTTAATTTAGAGTTGAATACTTAAAAGTTATTGTAATTAATTAATGCTCTTGCCTTATTATTTCTTAAGTCTTTTTCTTGACAATCTTGTTTCGTGCTCAAATGGTTCTTTCCTAAAACCTATACAACCAAACATTTTTTAAATTCTAAATTATAATATATAAGTATTACAAATCTATTTTTTAGATTACTTCAATATTTTATCAAATGAAATAGTGTCAACTTGTTATTAGAATAAATCTTAATTATGTTATTCTGCCTAAATCTTCTAATTCTTATAATTTAACTGATTTTTTAATTGCATTTCCATAATTAACTTAGAAAGTAATATCTTCTTTATTAAGTTATTTTTTTTATTTTCTTCATTATGAAATTTAGATTAAAGTTAAGAAAATCCTTCTGATTCTGTTTAAAATCTAGTAGATAATCCATTATCTGAATATTTAGTCTTCATTAATGCAGATCTGTACATTGTTGTTGATTCATTTTCATTAGGTTATTATTTATAAAGCATCTAAACACGAGCATTAATTTTTAAAGCTTATGATTTTTCTAATTAAGTTTCACTTTCTATTAATTCTTAAGTAAAAGGAAGTTATGATTTATCATAATAATAATATTATCTTCTAATTTTAGGAAATTCACTAAATTCATAAAGCATATTAGTATAGTAATTTAATTGATCTTCATCTTCAGGAATTTTAGATTTTTCTTCTTCTGGTAATGCTTATTTTAATACTTTAAATATTTCAGCTTTTTCTAGTGCATATTCTATATATTCTATATATTCGGAATTATCAAAAAATTACTAAAAATACAATTTTCCAATTGAATTTTCTGGTTAATAATTTGAATCAACCCAATTCATTATTTTTATGGTTTCTTAATATTTTAGAAAGTCATTCAATTATTCATAAACTAATGCTATCAAAAACAAAGACAATATAATTTCTTTAGTCTGTTTATTTTTTTTATTGATTACATAATAGTTAAGTGTCATTTTAATTTCTTCTAATGATGTAAGTGTTATTTCCTTATAAATTATAATAAAATTCTTTTGATACAAATCAAGACTTTTTAGATAGTATTTCAAAGTAACTTAAAAATTTACAATTAAAAGTAACTATTTCCAGCAATTAAATTAAATTTACTAATTTTATTTGAACACTACCATACCCCGATAAGCACAAGAAAAATGTTATTTTATCCATTAAAGCCTATTCAATTATAGTACAATTTATGCGATGAAAATACAACAAACCTCTGGATACCAATTAATTTTTTTAATAATATTAAGATCTGAACAGTATTGCCTTCATCATTAAAGATATCATTTCTTAAGTGTAAAATTTTTCTAATAAGAATTTGAATATCAATTACTCTTATACTAGATCTTCAAGAGTGAAATATTATCATGATAATCTCTCAAATAAAGTTACAGAATAAACTAATTTTTGCCTTAATTAATTTCACCTTTGATGATTTTCACTTTGAAAAACATTAATGTACAATAACATAATCTTCTCAATACTTTTATCCTTAAAAGTAAAGGTGATTCAATTGGTAGCAGTTTTTTATATTAACCATCTAAATGTAAAACACATTTACGATAATATCCCTAAATTAGATAAAACTTACATTTCTTATTAGAGTATTAGAATCTACCAAAAAATATTCAATTTAATTGATTAATTGTGGATTTTATGGCAAACCTGAAATTTTTATTTATAACATATATAAATTTATAATATATAATTGGAATATATTAAAATTTTATGAAATATATATATATATAATTCACCTATTAAACATTATCATTAATCTTTTCTTGGAACTTCAATAGTATCAACATAATTATATTTTTTGATTTCTCCAATAACTGCTTTAACTGAAGTAGCTGGTATCAAACCTACATCAGTCATTATCTAATAATATATAAATATTATTCTTTATACCATATTGATGTAATTTGATTATGTTATATCATATCTAAGACTTAAAGAAGTATATTATTAATTTTCATTTACTTATTATAATTATGCTATTTCATTCCAAGATAAAGAATCAATCTAACTCTTTTCTGAAAATTTATAACTTTTCACAAAATACTAAAAATGGAATTTTATGAGTTGAAGCTAAACATGCTAATAATGCAGTTCCTACTCTAGATACTAAGGCTCCATTACATAACATTGATGATGCTCCTACTAATATTTTATCAACCTATTTTAATATAATTATTATTATTATACTTTTGACAATATATAACTTACATGAGATAATAATATTTGATAACAAGATATTCCTTATTATTATAAACGATTTACTAATTAAGAACCTTCTCCAAATTAAGGATTATCTACAACAAAAATTGTCAATTATTTTCCTTACTTAAAGTAATTTATTATAAAATTCTCAATCAAATATGATCTATCATATACTAAAATTGTAGTGCCTTCTTCTTATATTAATTATATAGCCTTTCAAATATTTATTATGTAATAAATACATTTTTTATTATTAATTCTGATGCTACTATTATTTTTGATTAAATAAATTAATCAATTTAATTGCATAACCATATTTTTGACTCATTTTCATCAAGTTTTGTATCCCTTAATATCATTAAACACTCATTTATAAATAAATATGATGTGCTCATTCCTTCATTTACTGTTCGAAAGAAAGTTTTTCATTAAATTAAAGATTTTTTTTAATTCATCTAAAAATGCTATTGCAAAATAATTTGATTATCTTGATAATTTATAATCCTTTCTGAATTATTTTAATGCATTAAGAAATTCAACACATCGATGGGTAGATCCTATACATTATCCATTTTGATATTAAATACAAAGTTCAATAAAAGAATGATGTAAGGTGTAAGGCTATACTTAAAGTAAAGTTTTACATCAATTTATTTCACTGATTTTATACTTTCAGAACTATAATCTTAAAATATAGGAAGATGTGAAAGAAAATCTTTTCTCTTATTTTATTCCTTTGATGCATCAATTTAAACAATTTATTTATCAATGACAGCCTATTATTATTATATTATTTATTCTTCATTTTTTAATTATTATTAAACTGGTTTTGTATTTTACTTTTAATTTCCTTTACTGGATTCCTATTTAGTCTTATTAGATTCCTATTTGATTTCTACTTTTTCTTTTTCTTACTCTTACTTTTGCTTTTCTTTATTTGCTTTCTTATCAAATTTTTCTTTATTTTGGATTTTGCTAATTTTATTATTCAGACATTAATTCTTTAATATTTATTATACAATATTTAAGAATTAAAATAAGGATTTTGAGACATTTGACAATCACAGCCTAATCCTTACAAATAAGGCAGCATCCTCGATTTTAAAAATTAATTTTGATGGAATTGACATCCTGAAAGTAAACATAGTGGAATTAAGAAAAACAAAAAATATAGAAAATGAAAATTTATGCAAGCTCTGAATTCATATAGCAGAGATTGAAAAAAAGTAATATAGAGCAATTATGATTAAAATTAATATAAAAATCATAGAAAACCATTAGAAAATAAGAAATTTGAGTCTAATTATAAATGTAAAATATATTACTTTTTTAATGTTATTTCAGGATTAGATTGGTTGATGTATTTTCTTTTTGAAATATTTGAACAATATTGATTAATTTTTGTATTTTTTTCAAGCACATATTGTTGAAAAATTAGTAATATTAATCAGAAATGATTAATATTATTTATTCTTTTTGGAAAAAAAATTAAAATAGCTGAATAAAAGCAATGACCATATATTTATTGGAGAATTATATCTTTATATTTAATCTTTCTTCATATATTTCTAAACTTTTTTTAACGATTATAACATTAAATTATAAATAAAATATGAGTATGAAGTATAAATTATCTAAAATTTATTTAAAATAACTAATAACATAGGATTTATTAATAAGAAAGTTAAACCCATCAAATATTATTAGTTCAAATTTTAGTTCAAAATTTTAAATTAAAAATTCTTATTCAAAATAAAAAAAATTACAATGTTCAATGCGTTTACTAGAAAATTTAAGAATATCAAAAAATTGGATAAAATGTGGCTGAGATCTGTAATTTCTCATCTTCTTTGAACTTTGCAGGTCTTATTATAAAATTAATAACTCAATCTGTAAGAATAGAGTGAAGAATAATTAGAATAAGAGCTCATAAATAAATGATTATAAAATAAGTATGTAAATGATATCAATAAGTAGTTTAGGATGGAAATTTAATTCCTAATAAAAATTTGAATGGAAGCTTTTGGGAATTTTATGAAAGCGAATTTATATAAAGATAAATTAGAAAGAGGCTCGAGAGAAGAATTTGAGAAGAGATCTTAATAATAACAACCCTAGAAGTATAGAATTGTACTGAGATGAATAAATAAAAGTTTTATTCAATGTAGGTTATGCAAATTAAATAGAAGAAGAGGAGATTGAGAGATATAAGGAGGTGATATCTGAGATTAAGAATCTAGAAAATATTAGACAAGGGATTAACATGAATATGGTTAGGGCTGAATGCTGAGACTGATAGAGATTTTGGGCAAAGTATGAGTAAGCAGCTACAATACTCCCTGAATTTCCAATGACTGAGGGATGTTTCTATATTCCATAATATCTATAAAAAAAAGTTACAGAGCAATGAGGCTTTTATAGTAGCGAGCTATTATTCAAATGATGTTACAAATTTTAAATTAGGTTGGAATAATATTGGTTAAGATAAGAAATAAATTCTAGCATTTTGAGGAAATTAAATTATTTTTTATTAAAGCATCTAAAAATATTTAAGAATCTATTAAAAACAAAAATGAGTAACAATCCAACAAAATCCTCTCATTTTGAAAAAAGCTCTTCTGCCATTGATATGATTTAGAAACTTCAATATCATAAATTTAATTAATATATTGAATGTATATTAGACTTAAAAGAAAATACTTTTAATTCAAATATAATCCAAATATTTTTAAGATTATTAAAACTATGTCAGTTGTAAGAGTAATAAATAATTTTGAAAATTATGGAGTTTTATTTATTTAAATCTTTTATAACGATTTTTTGAGTCTCCTATGATCTATATACAAATCTATAAATTTATGATTGATTTCTTTCTCCAAAAGTAAGTTTTTAAATGATATTTGATGTATTTTGGTTGAAGTATGATTTATTTAAATGATTCCATCATCTCATAGTTATTCAAATTGCACTTGATAAATTTGTTAAGGTTTTTAAATCAAAACGATTAGAAATATAAAGTTTAATATTCATAATTGTTAAATTTTCATATTAAATAGCCCTTATTGAGTTTAAGTCCAACACAGGGAAAATATTAACAGAATCAAATATAATTAAAGAAAAGATAACAGATTATTTTTTCTTAACAGTTAAATCTTATTCTTAGACAGGAAAGGAGAAAATCGAATTCTTTCTGATAATTGAAAATGCAGTATACTTCTTTACATTAATTATTTACTTTTTTCTTTTAGAATGTGCTATTCAAATATTGATCCTTACTGCCATATAAATATATAAATCTGGATCATTTTACAAATCTTAATATATATCTAAATCCATAAAGGGAGATAAATTTGGGAAAAATTCATATAAAACATAAAAAAATTATTTTCCTATTCCACAGGTTTTCTAAATAAGAAAGATTTATTAATTATATAATTAAATTTGTGATAATTTGTTGATTTGATATTATCCCAAACATCTGAATAGTAATATTTAATTATATTATTTGAAATTGTCAACCAAAGGATAATTTAAAAAACCTTTTCTTGAAATAAGTTTTCAACCAAAATAAATTATAAAAATATTTTCGGTTTAACAATATGTCCCTATTTTCAATTCAATAATCAAATAAATTAATTTCTTAAATTAATTGAATACCTATGAATTGAAAAGGAAGCTTAAGGATAAATAGAGGAGAAACATCTTCATGAAGAAGATTGCCATATAGGGAGTCATTTCAAATTCTCCAAATTTGTAGAAGATATACAAAAAGATTCTAATTAAATAAATATAATATAAAAAAAGGGTAGAAAGACATAGTGTGTCTCATAGAGTAGATCTATTAGATTTAACATGAAGTACGAGAAAAGTGGACCATTAATTTTGTTAAAATTTTTGTTTGTCATATAAAATAGAGATTATAGGAAAACTAGCATATTTCATGAATATAAAGGGATTTAGAGAGAAAAATAACAAAATTATCTTGACGATCTATCCAAGAATTATAATTTAAAGATTATAATTCCTGTTCACAAAAGCGACTTTAAATTAAAATGAAAAGATTGATATAAAAGTTAAGAGTTCTACAACTAATATATATAAGATGGAACTATTAATTAACAAAACATAATATGATGCATGCAAATCTACATTATGATTATTTTGTCAATAACACTTTTTCGATAGAATTTCAAATAACTAATCAGTTAAAATTTAAAAAATAAATAATGATTATGTTATTTATGAAAAAATTCATTAATAAATATAATAATCATGAAAATTTTAAATCTGAAATTGATTTGATTTGAAGAGTTGTATATTTTCCAATCAAATTAGATGGATGTACGAATATAGGTTCAATATCAATAATATCTTCTTAAATTTATGTTTAAATTGAGTCATTATTTAAAAGATGTTTTTCAACTGGAATATCTAATGTTTTCGAATTTCCTAGTTGTGTAATAGATTAAATTGGAGAATAATTCAAAAATGAGTCCATATTATGAGAAATAGAAGTTGTTTTTAACATTTTTATAAACAACTCCTTAATGTAAGAATAATCTGGCATTTCATAATGCTTAAGTTCATCAATGTAAGACATAAACTTTGAGAATTCAAGAGGGAATTAATAGGATAATGTCATTGTGTTAAACATGGTAGTTTTGATGTCTCCAATAAATTTAATATCCATATCAATTAATCCTATTGAAGGAATTTTAGACCAAGGCAATTTAACTACTGTAAAATGAACATAAATACAATTTTTCAAATAGACTAAGACATAGAGTAAACTTTCCAAATCATCTTTATAACCTAATTTTTCCCCTTTATGGAATGCTCTGCTTGCAAAGTTTAACGAACCTATAAATACATTTTTTAAGAATTTTCTATTTTCTTCAAACTCAGATAATCCAAAATCAATTAATTTAATAAATCCAGGCTATAGAAGTTAATCTTCTGAATATTTTTATATTTTTTGTGATATCATTATATTTTCTGGTTTAATATCTAGATGTAAGATGCTTTTTCTATGCATTTTTTCTAAAGTCTATATAAGGCTTATTCCAATAGCCAATATACATGATAAGGATATTTGCTAAGATTTTACTAAATCGAGTAAACTACAATATAGGAGAGGTAGAATAAGATAGCTTCTAAATTTATTAAATAGTTCATACTTTTTTTCTGGATTTATTCCATGATGTATTAATTTAGGGATTCCTTCTACTTCATTTAATTCTTGAAGGATTTTAATCTCATTCTCTATTTAGCCTGACATGGGATATTTTTCCATTTTGAAGGCAAACAGTTTTTAACTTAGATTATGCACAACTTTAAACACTTAATGAACTTAACCTTCTCCAATCATTGAGAGCACATAATATTTTGAAGTTTAAAGAAACATAAGAGAATCTATTTTTAATTATAAAATTCTTTAAGAACAAAGTTCCTATTAAATATTAAATTTTTAATTTAAATTGGATTAAAATTTTTATATTTATTATTTTTATTTGTCTAAAAATCAAATTATCTTTAATTAATTTTAAATTAGCTTTGTCAGAGAAAACCTTGTTCTCATAAATTAAAAAATCATTTATTGAATAAGTTGCTTAAATATAGTAATTCATAATCAAAATAAATACTTTCTAATTTAGAAGCATCACTTTATTCCAATTCCATTCATGTGAAAAAATGCTTATAATCAATTTTACACTTTATCATAATTAATTAATTTTATATTCTCAATATATTATTATAAAATTTTTTATTTTCTTTTGTAGCATTATACTCCATTTGAGAAATCTATTCATGAAAATACTAATAGAGACTTTTTTAAAATGAACCCAATTTTAAAGATTCCTCCAAAACTTAATCTAAATTAACCATTAATAATTCTCTTTTCGTATAATATTTATCTTAAATATACTGATTTACTAGTTATATTTTTGATGATATAAATCTTCAAAAATTTAGTAAAGTTATTTTCAATTAATTTTAATTTCACTTTTAAATTTAAAAATAAAGATCAATTACAATATACGAAATTAGAAAAAAAAATATCAGTTATAAAGTGGGATAAAAATAACGATTTTTACAAAATATATTTAATTGAATTATCAGATGAATAAAAAACACTTTTTTCAGTCATCCTGATACTTTGCTGGTTCGAAAGCAATTAGATAAAAAGTATGTCTCTATATTAGTTAATTCTTATTATGGCGGTTAATGTGGTTAATTGGTTTTGAGTAAATGGTAAATGGGACTTATTTTTATAAATGCCAATATAGAATATTAGAAAGATGTACTTTTTAGAAGAAACGGATGAAAGTGCTCTTATACTAAATTAAAGATGGAACATATAAGTGCTTATATTATTTTGGTAATTATAAGAGAGAAATATGAAAAATATAATTCTACTTCAATTAGATTGTATATTTGGATATCATAAAATACAGATGGAAGATGTAAAATTTATTATCCTTGGATATGTCAAGAAAACTTTTTTTGATGATCTAAAATAATCCGATATTTTTTATTGACTCTAATCTCTATCAGAGATCATTAATACTTAAAAAAAATGTTAGAATTTAGAATTACTAGATTAGGATATATATTAAAATATGATTATTTAACAAAAATCAATAATAAGTCAATTAAATTTTAGACTTTGAATTATTTCAATCATCTAAATTATATTTAGTCAGATGATTTTATAAAAAAACTATATTTTTTGTACTTCAAATATATTAATTTCATTAAGATAAATTGCTTTTAAAAATGATGATTTAATAATTAAATTACATTGTATTTCATAAAAAAAGCTATAAATGGCTAGAACATATTTTTGATCATTTTTATGATAATTTTCTCCTTGAAAGAAGTTAATATTATGTATAAAATTAAAAAATTAACACTATTATTCTTTTATGATTATTTTAAGCCAAATTATGATAATTTATTGAAAATCTAAAGTTTTTAATTGAGAAAATTTGCTAATAAGATTATTGAAATTCAAAATGAATTTAAAATTATCAATTTCAAAGATTTCTTAATGAGCCATAAATATAAAAATAGATTTCTAAAGAGATAATCTGAAATTTAAATCTCATCAAAGCAAAATATAACTATTATTGCATATAAAGCAGATGTCATAATTATTGAATTTCAAGATTAATTAAAAAATTGATAATAAATTTGAGGATTAATGAATAAAGTAAATAGATAATAAACAATCAATTTTATATTTAATTTATTATATTAAATAGGATTTTATATAGTACATGCACAAAATATTACAGTATGAATTTAATATAACGTAGGATAGGTCTCTGGCGATTATTTAACTGAAGATTAAGATTTACTTTTTTTTATTATTAAATAAAAAGAGTCCATTAATTCAACTTGTATTATTATAATAAATATTCAATTATAAATCAATTTAAAAATGAATCTATTTATGAAACGAATTTCAAAATAAGTTTATATAAAACATCATAATTAAAATTGGCTATATCAATGATTAGATTTATTTGATCTGTTAGAATTTAAGGATTTTAAACCTGCTGATGAGATGTCATTATAAAAATAATATTTAAAAGCATTATTAGCAAATTAAGCCATCAACTTTGAAAAAGGAAATAACTATAAAAATATAGCACTTATGAAGAGCGCCTTAATTTTTTGTTAATAGAAATTCTACTAGATTACTACAAAAATTAATTTATTGGGGGGATGTAAAAAAATATTCTTTTTTTTAATGTTTTAAATTTTTGAATCGAAAATGAGATGATAAATTTTATAATTGCGAAAGATCTCATCCTCTTATATTAGAAGGAAAATTATAAATTTTATTATCAATTTCTTTCATCTAAATATCTCTATATTTTTAATTATTAAAAAATGATTC